AGTCAATTATTTGAAGGATTAATGCCAGGAGTACCCTATATGAGAGAATATCCTCCAGAATCATTTTATCCGAACGGTGAAGGGAAAATGTTAAAGACACCAATTGATTCTTCTCCAAAATCATCGGTTAAATGCTCGGATCCCCTGCCAGAGGGGACTTATCCTTTGCCGCGCTGTATCTCTAATGTATTCGAGTACGATTACGAAACTTTTGATGTAGAACAACGATCGGAACTTCGATCAAAACGAAGAACAAGTCATATGATCACCTGGTTTGGTCAATACATTTCATTTAATATCATCAAATCAAATAATAATATCGTCTCGAATCCAATATACATACCTGCTGATGACGCAAATTATAATCCACCAAATTCAATCCCAGGAGAATTAGCAGCCAACGGTACAACGTCGCTTCCATTTAATTTATCCGAAACATTTGATCCGAATCAATTGAATACCGTACGTAACGGAATTAATCATGGAACTTCATTTCTTCGTTTAAGTACGATCTACGGTACATCGGATGAAGATCTCTCGATATTACGTGATCGAACTAGTTGTAAATTATTAACTTCTAATGGAGATTATCCTGCAAAAGATACTGAAGGCAGATATATGTGGGGCACAATTCCTTGGACGTTATTCACTTTGGCCATTAATACTGTATGGATTCGTGAACATAATAGATTATGTGATGAACTATTTCAAATGCATGGTAATGCTTGGTCTGATCAACGATATTTTGATGAAGCAAGACGATGGAATATCGCATATTTCCAAAAAACTGTATCTGAAGAATATCTTGGTACTATTCTTGGACGCCCTCTTCCCTTATATAATGGGTACAAGCCAGATTTGGTTCCTGGTATTGATACCTTCTTTGCCACCGTTACGTTCAGATATGGTCATTCAGAATTAAGGTAAGGTTAATATTTCATATTTTTAAATCGACATTTTTTTATAATCAATTTCTAATGAATTTTATTTTATTAGCGATACGTATCGAATTCAAGATGACTATGGTGACACTATTGCTGAATTGACTTTGAATCAAATCACAAATCAAAGTCTTTTAGAAACGTTTGGGTTAAATCGTGTTTTACGTTCGATGGCTTTACAAAGACAAGAAGAAGTTGACATTTTTTTTAGCGATTCTGTAAGACCCCTCCCTCCTTTTTTTTTTTTTTTTTTTTGAATATATGGGACCTTTACAATAAATAGAAGGGGTAACTGCCAAGAAAAATATAAAATGAGTAAATGCTAAATTTGATGAACATATTTCGGCCTGAAAATCATATTTGTCATATTAACAAAAGTAAATTGATTTTTCCTGGCAATTCATTGCAAGGTCCCATATATCAATTCTAAAAAAAATTTTTTTTTAGAACAACTTTTTACTAATTCAAATTTTGATTATATAAGGTGAAGAATTTTATAAGTCCAGATTCTTATACATATGACTTGCCTGCATTTGATATTTCAAGGACAAGGGATCGAGGTATGATTTCATTATTAAAATTTATTATTAAAATTTTGACGAAATATAACGAGCAATATTTATTGTAGGTATTCCATTATATAACTCGGTTCGGGAGGCTTATGGGCTATCGAGGAAAAACTCGTGGAATGAAATTACCAGTAATTCAGATATTCAAAATAAATTACAATTTTTATATCCAAATGGACCTGATACTTTAGAAGCATATGTTGGTGCTTATTCTGAAGATCATTTAGAAGGTTCAAATTTTGGGGAATTAGTAAACGCAAGCTTAGTAACACAGGTAATGAAACAAAAACGAAAGCAAAGATTTTTTAATTTTAAATGAAATTATCAATACGCAATATATATTTTTTTAATTAATAGTTTAATCGCCTTCGAGAAACTGATGAGATTTGGTGGGAATCAGATTCGTTTAATCAAGAAGCAAAAGATAAATTAAGAAATACCACATTTCGTGATATTATAATTCGTAATCTTCCCGAAGAATCTCAATTTGTTAAAAGCATTTGGACAGTTCAACCTCAATCTTTAGGAGATGGTGGAGAAGATGCGGAGTATCCAAGTAAAGTCAGTCCTTGGTCATCTTATATTGTTAGATATCGCCTGGATGACACTCGTATACATTTTAAAGTCGAACTACAAACTTTAGGTGGTGAAGGCTGGTTTGGAATGGTAAAATATTTCTATATATCTTTCTTTGATTGAAACTTTTCAAATAAATAACAAAATATCTTGATTATTAAGGGATTTGAACCATCCGATATCGGAATGAAAGATGCGGAATTTATTATAGGCATTGTAGGCTTCGAAATTATTGTTTGTTAA